TTGGTAAAAATTGAATTAATTTTGACTTTTTGGGTTGACTAACGGTCAAATGGATGGAAACCATCCATTTGGACCTCAGCCGCATATTTATTAAAGGTTTGGGACCTCCGCTGGCACAAATCAAAGGTTAGGGTAAAATGCGCAAAAATCTGAAAGGTTTGGGACCGCAGCTGCAATTATCCCTTAGTTATATTACAGACCTGTATGTTCTGCAGTCAAGATGATTCTAAAATATTGGTTCTACCATTCTCTATCATACTTTATTAGCGCATACATTTTTTAATCTACAAACATTGCCTTTCAGTTTGTTCAATGTGTATATCTTGTATGTTTATAGCTGTTTGCAGGAGTGCAAGAAATTAAGGGTTGCACTTCAGCTTATTACCGAAAGGATAGTCCTAGAGGGTAATTCAACTACCATTGCAGGTATTCTTGGGAGGGAGGAAAAAGATGGTTCAGGGTTGCAAGTGGTGCTGGAAGAGTGAAAGAAGTCTAGAAACGAAGGAAATTTAGAGGACGAAACAATCAAGCTGATGATGCTCAATGGGAAAAAGGAGTTCAAATAACATGTGAAGTTTGTATAAGGTCTCAATTGTATTTTTTCGATATTTCCTATATTGTTTTCGATATATCTTATAAGTTGAGAAAAACAATTGGTCTTTATGGAACCTGTGTCAAAATGGCAATCCAGTCTCGCAATCATATTGATAATGTAATAATGTATTAAACTTATCATAAAAGAATAATCCTTTTAGAACACGAAGTATCAGAAATCTCTCTAAAATAAACATAGAAAAACCCAACGAAAACAGTAACCCGTCGGAAGTGAAATTAAAAAACTTATGAAAGCTCTGTAAATTTCAAAAGACTTTAAAAAAAAAAAAAACTGCAGAAATAATAAATCATTGCTTCCTTCAATTTGTTTCGTGAGAGACTCCATAGATTCTAAAGTAGATCAATCAAGTAAACCAAATTTTGTGGGATCGAGGGGGCAGTGCCCCTCGTGGGGGCTCGATGGCAAAGCCCCCGAAAGGATTTTTGATTTTCATGTATGTATGAAATTGCATTTTTCTAATATTTTTCAATTAAATTATTAACAAGTGGCTAGGTTGAATGTATGAGTGGAAGTGTTGGTAAGTTGGTAACTTAGGGTAATAGAACGGTGGATTGGT